GGGGGGGGCGGGCGAGGGGAGAACACGGCCTGGGACCTGGGGGCGGGGTGGCGCGCCAGGATTTATTTTCATGCAACCAATCATCGACTCCGGTGGTGGCTCCCTTGAACAGGCGCCCCTGGAAAGCGCGCCCATTTTTAGGGACCAACCGCCTTGCCACACGGAGGGGGGGGGGGGGGGCGGGGGCCGAGTTTGTGTTGGCAACTGAACGCGCCAGAGGGGGGCGCGGGGCGAGACCGGGGCGAGCATGTCGGCCAGCAGGCGGCTCCCAGGTGCACCCGGCTCCAGGCCCCTGGATGGGCGTGGACAGATGGCCCCAGGGCAGGGAAGCATAGCCAAACTGACTCCGCGGAGCGGACGGCCCCCCGACGGAGCATGGTTTCGGCGGGGCTGCTCTGCCTCTGCCCACTCCTTGCGAAGTATGTGAGCTCCGTGCCTTGCGTACTGTGCGGGCCGGGGAAGCCTGGGCCTGCCCCTTCGGTTGGATGTGCCTGTTGTGTCTGAGGCGAAGGGGGCGGGGCGGGGGGCGGCACCTTTGGTGGGAGCCCGGGGGCGGGCGGCCCTCCCGCCTCCAGGGGGCGCCGGTCTGTTCGTTCGCGGGGGTATGCTATTGTCAAAATGCGCAGGGCCGAGGGCGGGAAGGGGATCGGGGGGACGCCTCTCGAGCGCGCAAAAGTGGGTTTGAGCGCGCTGTTTCATCCCGGACCTTCGGGGCATCCCCGGGCCGAGTTGTCTCCTCGTGTCGCCCCCCGCCCCCCCCCCGTCGTCTTGCTCCGGCTTCCGCGTGTCACGGCGCCCGGCGGGAGGAGCGAAAAAGAGCCAGGAGACAGCACCGACCTTCCAACGGAACCCTGGGGAGAGGTGCACGGCACCGGCGCGACAACCGCCCTTCAAAGAGGAAGGGCCGGTCGCCAGGCAGCCCTCCGGAGAGGGCGGAGGGTGGGCGGGGGGATCCGGAGCCGGTGGCGAACACGCCCCTCTCATATGCCCCTTCCTCCTGCGCCGGCCCCGCCGCCACCACTCCAGCCCAGCCCCGCATCCGGCCGTGTGCAGCTGTATGCCTTTTGGCGCACGCACGCACGCACGCACGCACGCAAGCACGTCTGAGCTGGGGAACCCCGTTGCATGAGCATTTATATTTGCTGAATATTAAATTCGACTCATCCCCGGCATTAAAGAAAAGGAGACCAAGGATGTCCCCCAGACACGCATACTCCCCGGACCGAGGGTGCACCCCCCCTGCACGGCGGGGAGGCCAGTGCAATGTGTCCTGGAATGCTCGTCGGTTATTGTGCTCGGGCCTTCTCCCCCTCCCTCCCCCTGCAGCCGGCGGCCGGGGTGCGGGGGGGGGGGCCTCCGGATGGCGAACTGTGCGGCGCAAACGTTCTCCGCCCGTGTCCGGCCGGGGGGCTCCGCCGGTGCCGGTTATCGGCGTCCCTCTGTCCAAGTTCCAGCCTCGTACGGGTGTGTCAAGTCTCGCGTCCTTGCCCCCCTTCTTGGGGTGCCAGCCGCCGGCGCGTCCGTATCGGCGCCGTCCGTGTGTGCGCCCAGTTCCCGCTGGGCGGGCCCCACACGGCCTGCGAGGAGGCGCATCAATGGCATCTTGTGATGTTATTACATGCTCTCGCGCTTGGCGCGCGGTCCCCGTCCATCCACACCCGAGCAAGGGCCCCCCAGCCTGGAAATGGGGTGTGTGGCGCGCTCTCTCTCTCTCTCTCTCTCGCTATTGTGGCCACGGAGGCCCTGGCCGCCGAACTGGGTTAATGCGCTGGTGCCCCGGCTCCTCCGCCCTCCCGCCCTCCGCCTGCAAGGACGCTGCGCGCCCCCCCGCCCCCCCCCCCCCCACTCCCCCCCATCACGTCCCGGTGGTGCGCAAAGGTTGTGAGCTCAAGTATGCGTCACTTGGCGCTCGTCTCGTCGCGGTATTTGACGCTCCAAAAAGCCTCCCGCTCGCGCGGCCTTGTCGCGAGTTTGTGTGGCGATGCGTGGGCGAGTTGAGCGCCCCCGCCCCCCCCCCTCCCCTTGCCCCCCCCACCCCCCTGGGGATCCGGGGCGGGCTGCCCTCGTTCCCTCCCTCGCCCCCGCCCCCCGGGGCTAAGCGCGTCCCCGGTATGCGCCTGTTATTTGCCTGCTCATTCCTTGCGACGGTCCTCGGCACATACCCGAGGAGGGACACAAGCCGGTGGGCAGGCCGTTGGGGCACTTGGTCCTGTTTTTTTTTCTCTCTCTCTCTCTCTCTCTCTGTCTAAATCTCCCCCCTCGGAGACTGACGAGCGGTGTTCGCATCGCACACCCGGCACGAATGCCGGCGTGCCCACACCCGGAGCCGATCCTCTTTTACACCTTCCCGCGGAGAAAGGACTAGCATCTGCCCACCGATATATGCTGGCCCCTTGCCCGGGGTGGTCTCTAGAGGCCGGGGGGGACCAGGGCTTGGGCTACCGGCTTCTGGCCTCCCGGCGCGCCGGCGCCCAGCCCCGCCAAAAGGGGCGGCTGGGGACGAGAGCCCGCCGCGACAACGCCCAGCCCCGCGGCATTGGCTTCTAGACCGGGGGAGGCGGCTCCGGGCTGCGACCACTGAAACAATGCTCGCGCTGTTCAATGATGCGCCAGTCTGTGTGCCGGCCTTTCGGTGCACCTTCCCAGGGCCCTCGCCGCCTGAGGCGCGGTTGTTGACCCCGCGCGGGGCGAGACCAGAGGGGGGCGAGCGGAGGAGCCGACCATGTCGTTGCCCTCTCTCACGGGGGGGGGGGGCGTTGCGACTGCGCGTGAACGTCCTGGGTCGGGGCGTGCCCCAGGCCGGAGGCCGGCGGCCAAGCAGGCGGGGGGGGGGGGCGAGGGAGGGGAACTCCATTCTGCGTGTGCATGTTTGGGCGTGCAAGTGTACGGTGCGTGCGGCTCCAGGCCTGGTTGGGGGAGGGGAGGCTGCTGCCGGGTCCTGCGCCTCCGGTGTGCAGCCCCTCACCTGTGTCCCCCTGGCGGACGTTTGTCTCTGGCTGGTTCCCAAGTCTGGTCCCCAAGGCCTTGGGAATGCCCTCGTTCGGCTCCGAGCCGGGGATACCTTGGTCTAACCTGCCTCCTGTGAGCCTCTGCTCCCTGCGGGTGTGGGCGGGGAGGCACTCCTTTGCGCTCTTCCCCCCCGCGTGTGGGCGTGTGTTGGTGGGTTTGGGCAGGTGAGGGCGCGAATGGGTGGGTGACCATCTGTCCTCACTTCCTGGGGCATGTTCCCGTTGTATCAACGTGCCGCGCAGCGTCTCGACACTCCGGTGTGTGTGTGTGTGTGTGTGTGTGTGCGTAGGAAGGGGCCGGAGGCGGGCTGGGGTAGACATGGGGTGAGGTGGGGGTGGTGGTAGTGGGGGGGGGGGGGACTGCCGGGCGGAGCCATAAGGGGCGCCTCGGTGTCCGTGGATCCCCGGAGCGGGACTTCACAGTTCGCCGTGTTTTTTGCGCACCTTTTCTGACTGGTTGTGACGCTTCCCTGCTTCACTTCCTTCGACTTCGTGCCTCTCTCCACGTCGTTACTTTTCTCCCCTCTTCCCCCTCCACTCCTGTGCCTTTCGGTGCGCCTGCCCCTCCCTCTTTGCCTTTCTTTCTCCCTCCCCCCTCTCCGCTCCCTTTCTAACCTCCTTTTCTTTACGTCAACCCGCAACAGTGTCTGCTCCACCGCAGCCCGATTCTCTCTCTCCCCCCCAGCAACCATGTCCATTGAGTCCAAGTTCAATGCCGAGGACCTGGCCGACTACCGCGCCATGTTCGCCAAGTTCGACGCCGACGGCAACGGTTCCATCGACCACAAGGAGCTCCGTGATGTCCTCATCGCTTGCGGCGAGAAGGACGTCCCGGGCTACCGCGTCCGCGAGATGATCGAGCAGGCCGACCTCAACCGCGATGGCGTCATCGACTGGCTCGAGTTCCTGACCGTGCGTGCCGGCGGTCACATCCCTGTGCTGTCATTGTGCTCTTCCCGCCCCCCCCGTCTCTCTCCCTCTCTCTCTCTCTCTCGCCCCCGTCCTGCAGCCCCTTTCTAACCTCCCGTGACCCCTGCGGTTCTTTCCCCCTGCTCCCCTCTCCAGATGCTTGACCAGCTGCGCCAGGGCCGTGAGACCGGCTTCAGCACCGTTGTCAGCCGTGTCGGCAACCTGAACGTCCATGAGGGTACCTCGTCCGCCTCGGCCGACGGTACCACTCACTCCTACTCCGATGAGGAGAAGGTCGCTTTCGTGGACTGGATCAACTATGTTCTTGGCGAGAATGCCGAGTGCAACAAGTACATGCCCGTCCGCGATGCCGGCCTGGACCTCTTCAACAAGTGCACCGACGGTATCATCCTGATGAAGCTCATCAACGACGCCGTCCCCGAGACCATTGACGAGCGCGCCATCAACAAGAAGGCCACTCACCCGGTGCAGATTGCCGAGAACCTGACTCTCATGCTCAACTCCGCCCGGGCCATTGGTTGCAATGTCGTCAACATCGGCCCGTCCGACATCAAGGCTGCCACTCCTCACCTGCTCCTGGGTCTGATCTGGCAGATCATTCGTATCGGCCTCTTTGCCCGCATCAACCTGACCAATGTCCCGGGTCTGGCTCGCCTGCTTGAGGGCGATGAGACCCTCGAGGACCTGATGGCCCTGCCGGCCGAGCAGCTGCTCCTGCGCTGGTTCAACTACCACCTGGCTGCCGCCAACCACCCCCGCCGTGTGGGCAACTTCGGTCATGACATCAAGGACTCCGAGAACTACACCATCCTCCTGAACCAGATTGCCCCCCCGGGCTCCGGTGTGGACAAGTCGGCCCTCGGCCTGTCTGGTGACCCGACTCGTGCCGAGCGCATGCTCGAGCAGGCCGACAAGATCGGCTGCCGCAAGTTCGTCCGCGCCAACGACGTGGCCAAGGGCAACCAGAAGCTCAACCTGGCCTTCGTCGCCAACCTCTTCAACATGTTCCCCGCCCTGGAGGCCGTCGAGATCGAGGTCATCGAGGAGACCCGCGAGGAGAAGACCTACCGCAACTGGATGAACTCCCTCGGTGTCGAGCCCTTCGTCAACAACCTGTACCAGGACCTGCGCGACGGCCTTGTCCTCATCCAGCTGTTCGACAAGATCCGCCCCGGCATTGTTCACTGGGACAAGGTCAACCAGCCCCCCTTCTCCAAGATCGGTGGCAACATGAAGAAGCTCGAGAACTGCAACTACGCCGTGGACCTGGCCAAGCAGACCAACATGTCCGTTGTCGGCATCGGTGGCAAGGACATCTTCGACGGCAACAAGACCCTCTCTCTGGCCGTTGTCTGGCAGATGATGCGCGCCCACACTCTGACCATCCTCAACCAGCTGGCCGGTGGTCAGGGCCTCATCCAGGACAAGGAGATCATCCAGTGGGTCAACCAGACCCTGGCTGCCGCTGGCAAGACCACCAAGCTGGACTCCTTCCGCGACTCGTCCATCAGCTCTTCGCTGGTGGTCATCGACCTGGTCGACGCCATCAAGCCCCAGTCCATCCAGTACAACCTGGTCATCTCCAACCCGGTTTCTCTGGCCGACAAGATGAAGAACGCCAAGTACGCCGTCTCCATGGCCCGCAAGATTGGTGCCACCGTCTTCGCCCTCCCCGAGGACCTGGTCGAGGTCAAGCAGAAGATGGTCATGACCGTCTTCGCTACCATCATGGTGGTCGGCTACACCCCCAGCAACTAAGCGCCTCGTGTGCTGCTGTCACCGCTGCCCTCTTCTTTCCCTTCCTCCTCTCCCCTTTCCCCTCGGCTTCTCCCTCGCTTTGCTTCCCAATGCGTGAGCCCATCTTCCTTGCTCCCTCTCCTCCCCTCCCCCCACCTCCCTCCCCCTTCGCCGGGGCTGTATCCTCCCTCCCATGCATATCATCATCTGCGTGACTTGTGAGTGTCCTTCCTGTGTGTCATCGTGCCTTCGTCTCGTGTGCGCGCGCAGGTCCCCCCCCCTCTCAATGTCCATGTTCAGTCTGCGTGTGTATGCGTGTGCGAGAAAAAGGTGTATGGGGAGGTGTGCGAGGTGGAGAAAAAGCCCTTTTTCTCCATGGCCTTTGAGCATTTAATTTGGCATATGCCGCTCAAGGAGGCGCACGCGCGAGAGGCGGCCCATCCGAATGAGTAATGCTGAGGTCCGGAAAGATGAGGCCCATGGTGTCCCTCCTCCCCTCCTCTCCCCTTCTCCCTGTTTCTCCTTTGTGTGCGGCTCTGCGCGCCGGGGGGGCAACCAGTGAGAGGGGAGCCATGTGGGAGGCTGTGTGTCCGGAGAGGGAAAGATCCCCCTGTGGACGTCGTATCCCCCTCCTCCTTGCTCTTTCTTCCTCTGTCATCGCGCGTCCTTCCATGCGCGCGAGCCGCGCCTCCACCCTCGGAGGGTGGCGTGTTTTGTTGCTGTGCGACGGCATGCCTCCTTCTTCCCTCCCCCCCTCTCTCTCTCTCTCTCCCCTTCCCCCCTCCCCATTTTGTGGCGACAGAGCTGGCAGGAGCGGAGGATGACCTCCCTCCTCTCTCCCTCTCCAAAACCAGCCTTCCGGATCGCATGCCTGTCTGTGCCCTAGAAGTTTAGTGCTCAGTCACATGCATTGCCCCGTCTCTTCCTCTTCTCAATATACCCAAATCCCTCTTTGTCTTTCCTTTCCTGTGCCGGTGTTCCCCCTCTCTTCCCCTGTGTGCGCCTCTCGCCGATGGATGACATTTGTGCTCTTCAGACGAGACATACACACACACACACACACACACACACACACTCAACACACACACACACACACACACACACACACGCATATTCTGTTCTTCTCTCTCCCCTGATGACAGGACACACCTGGTGGGAAAGTGGCCCAAGCTGAAAGCAGCAACGCTTGCTCCCCATCACGCGCACGCGTGCATGTGCGGCTCTCAGAAAAATAAATAAATAATGGAAAGGCGGAGGAGGAAGGGGGGTCACGTATATTGGTTTACATTGTCTCCATCGGGGGCGTCCCTTCTTTTCTCTCGCGGGTGGGGAAAAAGGCAACCGCAGGGAGGGCGACCACAGAGAGGAAAAGAGGGAGATGCCTGCCGGGCTCAAACCACCCGGTTCCAGGCGGCCTGCTGCGGGTCTGGCGGAAGCTCCGAAAGATCTATCCCCGGACGCAGGGCCATTGCTGCCAGGCCACCGCCAGCCCCGTCGGCCGGCTGCCCGTGCAGGAACTGTGCCCACTCGGCCGAATAGGCACCAGCGAAGACCTCACGCTCAAGCCAAAGTTCCAAGTCCCCGCCACCTGCGGCCATTGAGGCCATCATGTCAGCCTCATCCAGGTCCGGCATGTCGGCCAACATGCGGTCCAGCTGGAATGAGGAGTCTGTGGATGCGGTCAGGTTCACGCTCTCCTCGCCGGTCCCAATGCCGGAGCCCATGAATTCGTCCAGGCTCAGCATGTCCGCCTGGCCAGCCGGGCCGCCAGGAATGGCGGCGGCAGCCGCATCCGCCGACGGAAGATGCGCCGTCAGGGTGTGACCCATGCCGGCATTCTCCACCCCGATGAGATAGTCCCGCTCGAGGGCCGCTGCATACAGGGCCGCCAGGGACTTGAGATTGTCGGGATCATCCACCGGATCGGCGCTCGGGGTCCCGTCCTCCCAGTCCGGCAGGTCCAGCATCTCGTCGTACACCCTCTCGCCATCCGGATCCGAATCGTAGAGATACGTTTGCAGGGTGTGCGCCAGCTCCAGGGTGTCCAGCTGGCGGCGCTGGCTGTCATTCAGTCCCGGCACGCCGATTCCACCGGCCGGAGCACAGAACAGCACCCGCTCAACGCCCAGACGCATGGGGACATTGTAGAAGACGCCGGACAGGATGCGCATATGCTGGTGCACCCATGTCCGACCAAGCAGCGGAAGCATGGACAGAATAATCTTCAAAGCATAGCGCTCGAAGGGGCTGGCCGTCGTGGTGCTCGCAGCAGGGGCATCACCCGCGCTGGATTCTGCCGTCGTGGGGGCGGCCACAGCCGAAGTCGCATCGGCCGGGGAATCCGGCGCCGAGCCACCCTCCGCTGCTTCCATTCCGGGACGCGGGCCACGCCGCCGGGTGTACGGACTGAAGGAGAGAATAACCGGCAGCTTAAGCAGCCGGCGCAAAACGTCATCCACCTTGGTTTGGTACAGGAGGGCAATGCGCGCCGGCTGGTTCTTGGTCATCTTTTGCAGGAGGCGCAGCAGCACCAGCACCGTCGAGGCATTGCGGAAGCTGACATATTGGTTGCGCATTGCAGAGGCCGCGGCCGGGGCCGGCGCAGCGGCAGCCGCCGCCGCCGCCGACATCAGATTCAGTGGCAGACCACCGGTCAGGCTGAGACTATTGCCCCGGCTGCGATTGGCTACCCCGGAGGCCAGGTTGGCCGGAATCCCGGTCAGGTTGATGCTGTTGCCGCGACTGGCGCCGCCCACCGTCAGAGGGGAGGAGGAGCTCGGCACAACCGACCCAGAGCCAGACCCATCTTCGGCCCAGCAGGATTTGGAGTATGTGCCTTCCCAATTTGTGGAAATGTTCAAGAAGCTTCATTGTGCGACGTGTGCGTGTGAGAGGACGGACGCAACAAAGAAGCAGAGAGGCAATATGCGGAGGATGCAAGAGGGAAGAGGCAGAACGCACTTGAGCTCCGGGATGTCCCCCTTAGAGGTGATGTAGGTGCCCATGTTTTGGCGAAGGAACTTAATCACCAGGAGAATGCCATTGTTCTTGACCAGCATGTGGGTGAAGTACTCAAAGAGCAGACCATCTTCATGGTCAAGGGGGAGAGAAGGAGGAGGAGAAAGGGTGTCAGTGGAACGGAGAATAGGTATGTGCTTCGGGGTTTCCAAGCAGGAAGGATGTGTTTGCATACGGGAAATCTTGGCCAGCTTGAGCAGGGTCAGCAGCAAGCCGGTCGTCGCATAGGCCACAAGCTCGCGCTGGCGCAGCTCATCCACCATGTCAGGCAGCGACCCCTGGAAAGAGCCACTGTTGGAGCTGGATCCAGATCCACCAAAACCAGATCCGCCGGAGGACCCGCCCCCGGTGCCGGCATCGCCACGCTCCCCAGTGAAGATGCTATGCCGCCGAGCATAGCGCAGCTCGCCCATGATGTTGGAATCATTGACATAGCTCGTGGTACTGGGAAGCGAGGCCAGGAGCAGGGTTTCCAGCAGCACGATGAGACCCGGGGCAAAGGGAATGAGCTGGGACTATGTACATGGGAGCGCATCGGAGCCGGGAGGCTGATGTAAGTGGTGGGCGTGGTGGCGGTGGTGGTGGAGAGGGAGTGGGCGGGGGAAGTGGGGCACATATGTGGCCCACTTGCGGATGCATGCATGGGTATTTGCAAGGAAAGGCCGGGGACCAGCAGATGGTGAAACGCACGAAGAAGGTATGCAGGGCGTCCAGGCGCTCGGCCATGAGTGAGCGCCCGGACGGACCGGCCGCAGCACCTGTCGGCCGCGGCGGAACAAGGCCCTCCCACCAAGGCGCCGCGAAGGGCAGATGTCCGGAGTATTGGTCCGAGGGCTCGGGAAGAGGGGCATTCTCGCTGCTGGCGTTGCGCAAATTGCGCAGGAAGTTCTCGATGGTCAAGGAATGCAGCGAGGTATACTGGTTCCGGGCCAGGGTGGCCAGGCTCACCTGCACCGAGCGCGGCAGCGTGGCATACAGAGGGTCCCGAAAGACGCCGCCCCCGCAGCGCTCCGGGCAGTGAGTGCACCCACGCCGACCGAGGGCCACACATAGGCAGTGCTGCTCCAGCAGCTGATCTGCCACCGGGGTGCCCTGATCATTGGGTCCGGGTGGTGGCTCAACGCCGTAGAAGCGCGCCGCGGTCACCTGGGCAAAGCGCACACGCTCTCGACGGGAGTTCTTCGTATACACGCCCAAAGCCGGTCGAACAACGGGACTGGCATGATCCAGTGCCGCGCTGGCCGGCAGTGCCAGGCACTCGCACATCGTCGTTGAAGTCCCAGGAGGAGCCTCCACCCGGCGCCGCGGGGCCAAGCCGGCACGCATTCGCGCATGGTCCATCAGATGGCTCCACTCACCGGCATGCTGGCCAAAGGAGGCATGCAGCAGGGCACGAAGGAGGAAGAGAACCTGGGAGGGGGAGGCGGGACAGACGTCAGAGGGGGTATTCGAGAGGGAGATAGAAAGGCGACCCTCTTCTTTCTGACACATACTCGCCGCAGAGGCATGGAGTCCGGGTACCGACGAGAGGCGGACTGTGGCGAGGAGCCGCTCCCCGGCGCGCGGCTGCGCACGGACGACTGTACAATCAACGCCTCGGCCAGGATGATGAAAAGAGAGCGCGTCCGGCCAGGCAGGGGAGCACGCGCTTCGCGTGCCAGGCCCGGGTCTGTGGCCCAAACCTCCGGCTGGTCGGAGGCCGCGCGCGAGCCGGGCGAAAAGACGTCCTCCATGCACGAGCGGTCGGCACCGGCGAGGAGGGCACTCAAGATGGTGCACAAATCGGCCACCTGCTCCCAATGCCGATCGAGGTCTGCCTCCGGGATGTCCGCCTCCGGGGGGCCGGGAGCCGCGGTCGCGAAGCGGTTGCTACATGCCGTCGAGAGTGTCAGCGAGGAGTGGGCGAAGGGCGGCGATGGCTCTTCCGCGAGGGAGAAGAGGAGGGCGGAGAAAGCGCAAGGTGCAGGGGAGTGGGGGAAAAAAATATGATGCAATGCGCACAGTACTCGCAGGTGGCTCTCCAGGCGCGAGGCCAGCACGACAAACCCACGCGCCGGCAGCATCTGCCCGTCGGGATTACTGACGGACACGGTGGAGATGGTGATCAGATGGCAGTTGCTGCGGATCGCCTGCCGGTGTGCCTCGACACTGGTTGGCGAGGGAAGCAGGCCGGCAGCCGCGGCGAGGAAGAAGTACGTGGAGTTGATGACCGTCGGCTCGAGCAGCGAGTCGGACAGCTTGCGCACCGACTGCGACTCGCCGAAGTCCGACGACGACAGGGCCAGCCGTGTCAAATGCGTCTTGATGGTCTTCACCTTGTCTCGATCCGAGAGGGTGCCCCAGGCTGGTGGTGGTGGCACGTGTGTGTGTGTGTGTGTGTGTGTGTGTATGTAGGGGGGAGGGGGGAGTTAAAGGGGCGAGTAGAGGCAGGCAGATGTGTGCCCGCCGAGGTGACCTCGATACTAGAGGCAGCAGGGACTCAGGGTGGAGGGGGAGCGTACACTCGCCAAAGCCGGCGTTGGACAGCTCCACGATCTTCATGATGCGCGGGCGATCAGCATAGGCGAAGAGGACATTTACGCGATCGTCCAGGGTGGGCAGGTCGTCGTGATACACAAACGGATCGAAGGAGGGCTGCTTCTCCTGTTTCGAGGGCATCAGGAAAAGGGGGGAGGGAGGGGGGAGGGGGGGTCAGCGGGTGATGGCGAGGGCGGAAGGGGGACGGAGGCCAGCAGGGCATTGCGGAAGAAATACCTTGGCCTTGCTGCGACCGGCCACAATCAGCTCCTTCAGCTGGGTCATCGTGTCAGAGACACTCAGTCGTGAGGAGCTCCCCATGATGGGCTGGTGGGAGCCGGACATGGTTGGCTTCCAGCGCAGAACTTGGAGGCAGGGGGGTGGGGTGGTGGCGGAAGGGAGTGGAAAGGGGGAGGAGGGTTCGAGGGAAGGGGAAGGAAAGGATTGGATAAGGCGGAGGGGGGGGGGTGGTGGTGCTATGTTGACGTTTGGGTGGTTGTGCGGAGTCGAGAGGGGGGCGGCTGAAAAGCCGATTTTCCGGACGGGATCCTGCCAAGCGCGGCAACGACTTGCCCCTCATGCCTGGGGAAGCACGGAAGACCAAAAAGAAAAAGAAAAAGAAGGGGCAATTGAGTGTATGTGTGTGTGTGTGTGTGGGGGGGGGGGGGGGGGGGGGGGGTAAAAGCAGCTCCCCGTCGTCCCGCAGCCCCTGCCAGTCTTGGTGAAAGGAAAACGGTATCAGCTTGACCGACCATCCTCAGGGGCCGTCGCCTTGGCTGCCGGGCGAGGGATGTGGACGGATCCCCAAAGCGCCCAGAGCCCAACATCCTGCCCGGGGCCCCACTGGCTGCGAATGCAGTTGTGCATGCTGCTGGCGCCGGACGGAGGACTCGCGCCTGCGCCGCACCCCCCCCCCGCAGGCCGAGGCGCGCGGGATTCCACTGTCGACGGAGGAGTGGAATGTTGACTGATTCATTGGCACATGGGGTCAATAACCATCTCGCCCTGGAAGGGCCCCCTCCCCCGCTGCCGGGGGTGGACCGGGGAGGGGCAGCGACGACACCCGCAAATGCATGCCCCATCGGCCTTCATGTTGCATGCCGCCCCGGAGGGGTATTTCTTTCTCTTCGTCATCCTCTCTCTCCCTCCCTCTCTCTCTCTCTCTCTCTCTCTCGCACGCGCACAGACCCACACGCGTGCGCACACATGGAGATACGCATGCGCACGGGGAGAAATCGAGGCGTTAAGGATCTAGACAGAGAAGGGTGTATTTGGTGTACGTGTGTGGGGTGTGTATTGTGCCACCTCCTGGCAGTGGAGAGGGAGGGATGGCAACGCGAGGCCCAGACACAGGGTCGAGGCGTGGGGACGTGGTATAAGGGAGCATCCGCTGGCGGATGTGTGGGACTGTTCACAGTGACTCTACTCAATGAGGTAGACG